TGTATAAGTTGTACATAACTTATGAAAGTTCAATATATGTTAACGAAAAAAGGATGATTCCTTTGACGCTTGGGTTGACTTTTCGCCCTTCTCTTTGATACACCGAGGCATAAAGCACCAAAAATATAATGAAAATGTTTTGAAAGAGAATACTTTTGATAAAGAACATTTGAAATCATCCAAATTAAAATTATTATTTACGTTAATTAATAAAATTAAAACATATATGTGATCTTTTGAAAGATGTTTTATCTCGTGGGCACTCAGTGCATATTTAAATTGCTGTAACAAATATGTGTACTTAATGATCCTAAACGCCCATTTACAACCTCCAATTACGAGAAATTTAATCTTATGAAAAACGGGCCACAGTATATGACCAGGGTTGCAACACTAAATCGTATCGTTATAAGACCGATTTTTTTTTATCCAAAAGCAACTTTTGAACTTAATCGCTTTATATATCTCCTTTCCTATACGGTTGTCACATCACATGATTAAAGCAAAATTTATGATGCGTATCTTTGGTGCAACGACTGTAATTCGATTATGCAACCCCATAATCAAACTTGGGGTTGGACATCTTGAATGCTTACATCAAGCCCTCTCATAAATTTAGAGACCACAAGTTCATCTGCTGCAGTTGAAAATGGCGTTAACCTCATTCGTAAGTACACTACTGTAGAAAACCCCGTATTATATGATAAGATGGTGTAAGTGTGTGGATTAATTCGGCATAGACATCGTAGCATCGGTAATAACTGTTAGCAAAAGTAATTGTAACATCAACGGGCCAGTCCGTTAAGCCAGTAAACAATTAAAATCTGTACTATTAATGGTACTTATATGATAGAACTTTTAAAAAGAATGCGGAAAGCCGAAATTTACCTTTTTCAGCCAAATATATTTAACTGTTATACAATCAATACTTTGAAAGGTTTTGGTAGATATCGGTTATCTACTTGTGGTAAAAGAACTAAAATTTAAAACATTGCACAGTTGGAATTCAGAGGAAATGTCTATTGAATACTTGAACAAAATCTAAAAATAATGTGTTAAGTGATGTCTTTACCATTTACACACGATAAAAAAATACTTTAAGTGTAAATTCTGTCGAACAATGTTTTCTGCAGTAAAGATTATCAATTTTTCATTTAGAAAGGAAATAAGATATTATGTTAAAGGCAATAGAAGATAGGCAGATATATAATTCGGGTATTTCGATTTAGATGAATCGAGTTGAATGTTATTTCTGCTGTCCTGGCAAAATTTCTCTTTCCGCACAGCATGTTATGGAATGTTTTTTCTGGCCCAATCACGTGCAGAACATTGTGACGTAACAAAACTTTACCTGTATATCATTGTAGAGCAACTGGAAAAATATTTTTTGGTTTGGTATGCCAATAAGCATAAAATAGTGTAGATTGTAGATCCAAGTTATATGGTTTAAGTTTATGTCAGTTTGGCTAATAATGTTTACAACCTCTATTGGGACAGAATGCTGACTCTTAATAGTTCATCTTTCACACAGAAGAACTGTGGGCATCATTTGGTTCAATATATTTTGTTGTCGCGGTTGATGAAAGGAACTGTTCGAAGGCATCAAGCACCAGCAATCGTTTGACATGTCACTAACATAATCTGAAGTGAAATATCCAGAAATTAGCCAGTTGGGGTATGTGCCCTCCTAGAAAAATAGCTTTCACCTTTAAGTGTATCCCCCATTGCATTTTTGAGAAATTTCAATGTCTACATAAGGAAATTCGCCTAAATTTCAGCATTACATGCACTTTGCAAAAGAGCTATGTACATTTGCAAATTACCTGTTTATTATTATTTGCTAATCAGCAAGGGTCTGTTTTTCACTAAAAAAAAAAAAACTAATAAGCTAATATAACGTCAAGCTAAGGTTAATTTTGATCTGGAAATACGTTACGAAAAGTGCGTCTGATCCTTCACTTAAAAAATCACCTGAGCAAGCAGATAAAAATAATTTTAGTAGCAGACCTAGAGACCTAAATAATTTCTTTATAATACTAGTCTAGACTACAGTACTCTGCTCACCTATAGAGTTATTCAATAAAAACATTCATACATCTGTCACTATCAGTTTCTTAACCGATTGCTATATCTAGTAGTTTTCTAACTGATATTACAGACACAAATTAGTGGTATACTTGTTCATCATTTAAAGGATCTTTGTTGAGAAATGTCAATATTTGTCTGAAAAGATTATTTCGAATTTTTTCCCTGAAAAAATGTTTACTTCCGCCGTTTCGGTGTTCACACGAACACGGTTTTAATTATTTTGAAATCATATAAATGGTTGAAAATGCACAAAAAATGTATATATTATTTTTGTAAGGCACAAATATGCACGCTAAGTATGAACACCAAATCTCAATGGGCAATGGATTCAAAGCCACACGATTTGAAATGTCGATCCTGTACAAATAGTATTCAATAAACAGAAAATATCCAAATGAACATTTGTCTCAACCAAAGATGAAGTTAAAGAACAAACTAATGCCAATATTTTTTTAGAGATCATTATTCGACTTCTACTCTTATGGAGAGATGTTAAATTTCTTATTATGATGATGTGAGCTAATTTGGTTGATGCTATTTTCATTTTCAAATATTCCCAGAAAACTAACCTGCAAGCATAATTAACATACATCAAAATACTATATATGCACATCGTCTTGATAAACTTTTAGTTGATTTTGCTCTGACCATAGTCAGAAGTATAAAATGCTCGTTGAACATCCAGAGGTACAGAAGGAATGTGGTGATTAAAGGCATTCTGACTTGAGATATAGTCCCGTTTTCCTCCTCAGTTCACCCCCCTCAAATAGCCGCTCAGAAAATCATCTGTTACCATCAGTTCACATTGGTATTTTCAGTAGAGAAATTCTCAACGGTGCATGTTTTATATATTGAATTATTAACATAAGTATTGTTTGTGCTTTGGACAGTTCACATATTATCTTATATATTCTGATTATATATTTGAATAAGAGAAAACATTCTAAAATGAAAATAAAGAAATTGTATTGAACTATAAGCTAGTAAAGGATCAACCATACTTAACACCTTGTTATCAAAATGAAACGTGACCACTAAATGTAACCTTATATTTACTTTCATTGTTCAAATTATCAAAGTAGACCTGCTTTTTTGTTCCCGTCTGTGTATACCTACAGGTGGAAGGCTAAATAATCATTACAATATCAACATAATTTCACTGTCAAAATAATCACCAATACACCAAGACCGATATCGAAATATTAAAACAGAACCTGGAATGGTATGCTCTGTGAAGATCGCACAATGTGAAAATCCAAGTAACAACATGTTTCAGAATGAATTCCGTTTTAATATTCAGAAATCCTTGTCACATTCAATTAACGAACACAAAATTGGTTGAAATAAAGTGCGATTTTAATGAGTGTGTAGCCACGTGTGTACTGAAGTTAATTTCCTTAACTATTACATCCAACACATGTATATTATAATGAGCTGATGAATGCGAGATAAACCACTCAGTATGCAATGAACAAATTTTTCGTTTCTGATTTAGGAATCTAACGTGTTCAGTCTGGAGTATACGGTTCCATACCATCTTTCTAATTTTGCAAAAATTATTTATATATATGGTATGCATACTTCAGGGTTCACAGTAGTATTAGATACTGGATTGATCGCTTCAAACGTAAAATAATAACACTGTAAAAGTGCGTTAGGGAAGTTGTTGACACCTGATTTTGGGTGGTCTGTCATATGCCTGGTCACACCTGCATTGAATAAATAATCAGCCTTCATATGGTCAGTCAATGGACATTCGTGTCCATTCATAATGACACGTCCGGCCGATGGCAATATTTATGTTATTGTATTAGCTTTCGTGGCCTCCAAAAAACAATTTAACCAAATATAAACCAAATCAAGAAATATGGCACAATCGTACAATACATTTATTAATAATATAGTATTTTAATGCCCACCAGAACAGATATTTTGTCTGGTTTTGCATCTTAACATTTTTTATAAGATTGTTTAATATCTGTATACATTATCATTTACTATTACTCTTTTAAATAAAGCAATAGAAACCCATAGGCCCAGGACTGAGCGTTAATGTGCAGGAATGCCAGCTACCGGATCTAATCTTCTGGTCCGAATTTCTTTTATTCTGATGTTGATCGCATACGTTTGTGGTTGATAAATAATAAACGATTCGTTCATGTCGGATGCGATCCCCCTTTGAATTTGAGCAAAATCAAACGATGAACAGCATTATGTAATATATATGAGTTACATAAAATACCCTTCTCTTCATAAATCAATTAAAGTCATAATTTCGTTTAAGGACGAAAGAAAGGAAACTGGTTTCATATTTGTTCCATTTTTTAATGTTGTAAAGGGTGGAAATGTTTATAGAATAATTTCTCGCCGCGAGAGGAAAGAAAACGTTCTTATTATACTGATATATGAGAAGAAACAATTGGATTTTTGTATCAATTTTTTAAAGACCATATAATTCCGGTTTTGTATGTCGGAGAAAGAGCTCTCAAACTAGTCTGCTAGTAAATGATTAAAACGGCAGTAACTAGAAACTACCACGTTTGTTGCACCTAGTTTTTTGGATATATCGTTGAAGAACCACTATCTAAGCGATGTATTGAGATTTGGGGTTCGATCAAGGAAGTTCTGTAGTTTGATATCTAGGGTCATTTGCTTGGATCTTAAAAGAAAATAGGATTTTTGCAATGCAAAATCTGTTAGATATCAAATAATAATATTGAAAAATTTAAATAGACGTTCGTGTTGGTGGTTGAGACGTTGATTTTTTTTTTGGGTCTATTTTAATTGGTCCATTTTTTGCCAGTTTCGAAATTAACAAATTGAGTTTGGAGTCGAATTCGCTCCCTATGAAATGGACGTTATTTAAGTAAAAAACAATTACAGCAAAATAAAATGATGTTTTTGTATTTCAGAAAGTGGTGTCCACGGGTACAAACAAGAATGGTAACATGTCGACAACCAAGATGGGACTGGAATCAAGACAGAAGGTAATGCAATTTGGAGGAACAAAATACTCGAATAATATATTGACTAAGGGTTTGAAAATGCTGAGGACCAAGCAAGGTTGTTACAAATTAGTTTCTGAATGTGTTGAAGTGTGCTTATTGAAGCGCGAATTGATCATTCAGGGCCAAATTAACTTTTCTCATAAACATACGATGCATGGAGCACTTGGTAATGACAGATTTCTCTCCCTTAACACAAATTGAAATAGCATGCAGTCTCTTAACGATAAATTCAACGCTTTTCAATTTAAAAAAAAATCTCAGTTAAAAAACTAGACTGATAAAAATAGGTCGACGACTTAAAGCAAAATGACGATGACCATAAAAATTAATGCTTAAACTAAATAATGTTGTTCCGAAATTCCAAGTGGGAACTAAACCTAATGTTATAAACGTAAATTAAGACATAAGGAATAAACCCACTACGGCATTACGCGCCAAGTGAAACACTGTGTGGATGAATTCCACATGGAACGCTTAGCTATAACGCTCTCCCTCGTTAGGAAACATAGGTCCAATATATTTGTACTGGCTTGTAGAACAGAGGCGAAAACGCACAGATGGTACTTTGCGATATTGGTGTTTCAATTTTCATGCGGAGAAGAATGCTCTGATGTTTTCAACGCGACACCGTAATGGAATTATAACTACCAAAGGCTTAACGTGCCATTCATTGACAGAAAAATTAATATTATTACAATAAATCCATTTAAATGAGAAATAAAATGATTTTGATCTACTTGTCTTTTGTACCACAGAACACAATAACTATAGAAGAAACAGATACCATCACTCATTTACTTATAGTTCTCATATTGTTATAATAAATCATTTGTCATTTGAACCTCTACTATTAAGGACTGGTTCATGCCAGAGGAAGATAAAAAAAAAAGTATTTTCAGAACGCAGCGTGTGAAGTTATCTATATTTTAGAATTATATGACGACCTTTTTTTTACAATGAAATGAAAAAGATTTTAGCCTGTTACTTTTCGGCTTCCATTTTCAGTACCGACCGATAAAGTTGGTAATAACTGCACAATATGTTAATAATATCTTGAAAGTGATACAAGTCCGTACAGATTACTTTTTATACGCTTACATTCAAATGTGGGTGTATATTGCCGTCGCCCCGTTACGTCCATACTGTTTTCGTCCTGATTCTACAAAATATATCGATGGGTGTTTCAACCCTTGAAACATTGAAAATACGTTAAAAGTTTTAAATGCTATAGAGGCAACAATAGAGTCAAAATTTTATAACATTTGGTATGTAGGTGTATATCCACAAGACAAATTTCAATATTTGAAGAGTTTGGTACTTATTTCAACCATTTTGAGGGAGTTACAGCCCTTGATATATTGAAAATTTATAATAAAAGTGGACGTTATGTGCTTGGCAACCGCTGATTGTGAAATTATACAGGATCCGGTTGTCGGATTTTAATTTTGAATAGCTTTATGGATAATTTTATTCAAACATGATTCTAGTTAAATAAAATGAATAGTCTCTATGTGTCGTGTGTTGCTATGCCTATGCGGACATAAAGTCAGTCGTTGGGTTTATATTTTTTTAAATTGTGTCTCATTAAAGGGAAGAGTTTAGTAGAGGTGAATAAGTTAAAGCTTCATAACGGTCTTTGTGTGATTTTTGTCACCTTACAGAGATATAATCAAAAGCTGTTTTGTCAATTGGTGTAATTCTACACTTGTCAATATATCAGATATCCTTTCAAGATGAAAACTGATAGGAATAGCCGTAGGGCACAACCTGTAATTGAAATATTGAAATAGTTACACGAATAATGAATAAACGAATGTTCATAGCTACATTTACTTATTAAGTTCTCTTTTAAACATCATCCTGTGCATTTTTTTCACAATTATTGAAGAAAGACTTTGACTATTATATAGGTTAAGGGTTATGAAATAAAGACATTTTTTTTTTAATTTTCTTAACATGATTAAGATCTCTTTATATCATCCACCCGTTCCCACAGTTGCTTGATAAGTCCAAATCTTCCCACCTTCGTCGGTAAATAGACCTGAATTTGGACAGTCAGTTTTAAAATAAAAAACAACGACTTTGATTAACAATATAAAAATCTTTGTATGAATACATTTAATGAAAGCACGCTTGTCTACGATACATTTCAACCTAAAATGACTTGAATTTGGGGTAAAATGAGACAACAGTAAACATATTTGCACTGAAAATATTTACCCGTGTTTATGCTATCATCAAGTCATTTGCGGGCCATATTAACTGATCTATATTTCAGAGGATCACAAGGTCCGATGAAAAAGTACTATACAGTAGTTTATAGAAAACAGAAAGAAATCAAATGGAGATGCTGTCCTGGTTTTCAGGGGGAACATTGCGACTTAGGTAGAATTCTATTATTATTTTTTCGTCGAATGACTGTGATATCTACTGACTGAATTCACAAATCCCCCCAATAAAATCATTTAGGCTATATCACTATGATATCAGATTGTATTTAAAGAAAACTAACTAACGAGTCGAGGAGTTTGTACTTGAACTACCATATTGCAACTAGCAAATCATACTTGACATAGTATATTGTATGAATTGTTCGATAACTATTTGTGCTACATCTGGGGCAAAAGATAAAACAAGTAAGTGGCGTTCGGTTGTCGAGTTCTGAACAGGTTATGTCTTGTCTCAACGGTTCGGAACATTAAAATTTTGCCTCCGCCATTTTGAAGTACAACGTCATTTTAAAGTAGACGTCAAATGGATGAACTAAATTTGTCCTTACAATTTTCAGAGTGTTTTAATTGCACGACCATACAAGAATTAAAATCTAGAATATCAAATACAGAAGGTATAGTACGGAAGGTAAGGTTTTGTTATTAATTTATTCTGTTTAATCTGTAAAATCTGTACACTATCACAATGGTAAAATATATATGTACACTTTGTTCTGGCGTATAACTGTTGCAAAAGCTGTGAACAGATACACCAAACCATAACATTTATAGTATAGCATCTTTTTGTATTTATATGCCTCAGTATAACTATCTGATTTGTTTCAGTTAACGTACCTGCGTCACGGAGGAGATAATAAAAACTATCAAACAACATCTTCGCAATGTTCATGTCCACGAGGAGAGAAGGGTGAACGAGGTGGTCGTGGTGTACCTGGTATTCCTGGAAGACCAGGAACTACGGGACCTCCTGGCCCTATTGGTCCTAAAGGTGAATCGGGTACATCATCGGCAGCACCACAAGCCATCATGTCAGGAAAGATGGGACCACCCGGTATACCCGGACTCCGTGGGGATAGTGGGAAACCTGGTATGAAAGGAGAAAGGGGTAACCCTGGATTAAAGGGAGAACCTGGAGAAGCTGTTCTGATCAACAAAGATAACTTTAAAGGTGAGGATATGGTCATCGTTGAAGAGATTTAAGCGTCGTTGCTCATCATACATTTATATGACCGTGTTGGAAGACAAATGTATTATCGAGTAGAAAGCTTTTCCAACAACGTTTCAGTCTCAGTAATCATCTTTAACAAATCGGCAGCCATGTACACGTACCTGTGACTGCCTTCCATGTAACTTGGTTTTCAAAAATGGCGAACCTTTCCGCCGATAAATTGTCAAAATTAAATAACTGATGAAGCCGCACCAATCCACAGACTGCATTGAGCATTGATGTTGAATTTATTTTGCCTCAAAAAATTATTTTCTCTCTGGATAATTGGCGATACTCGGGTCATATATCATCATAAAAATGTTATATCGTGTTGTTCAATGTTGGACAATGTAAACAGAAAACAGCAACAAGCTTGGCCATGGTCGTACAAATAGTGTTATAAATATTCTCATCTGGTTCTCAACTTATTGGATCTGTGAAAAAAAGATGCTGTACTAATCGTTTGTTCAATATGTCTTAAACCAATCTACAATTTTTCAACCTTGTATTTTCTATCAAATCACGTTTTTTTTTCAAAGTATCCTTTTTATTGCAGATCGGGATAATACAATTGCTTTTTTCGAGGAAAGGCTTCAGGTAGGTAATTTTTAGAGACTTTCTAAAACATAGATAACATACGATCCTCATTAAATAGTTGAAAGAAGCACTTTTCATTCAATCCGCAACGGCGTTTTGGTACATATAATTATTTCAAAAATTATTTGGCTTGAATGGAATTTTACAATAAGGTCAAAATCTGGGTTTAATTTTTATTGAAACAAAATCATCGCAGAAATTGGATTGCTTCATGTTAAAAAGTCTCGTTTTCAGCTGTTAGAATCCAAAATAACTAAATTAGAGGACAAGTTAAATAGAACAGAAGAAAGGAAAGAGAATTATGAAGTATTGGAAGCCCGTGTCGTATTATTAGAAGAAATATTCTCCAAATTATCAGGTTTGTTTAAAATAAAATGTATGTCAATGAAATTTGCTAAAGCAACACTCCACTTCGTCCAATTATTTACTTTAGGATGATATAAAACACAAAAAGTGGCTAGCTTTCGACCATTTTCAAAAATATTACCATACGCATACATAATAATACGACAATAGTGCAAAATTTCAGCACTTCGTTTAAGTTCATGATCAAGCTGTTCTTTCGGAGACCAGTTGGAGTAACGCTTTGCACGGCCTTTTCGTGTTTCCTTATAGTTGTTCGCTAAAGAGCCGAACCCGTGTCTACAAATACACAAAAACAATTAAGTAGAAAAATGATTCTCCGATTAGAGGCAGTCTATTTGCATGCAATTATTTTCAATCCTTTGCACACCAACATCGGTTGAACCATTAAAACTGTATCAAACACGATATATGGAGATTATTGGTATATATGTATTTTTTTTTAAAAAATCGATCGTTGCGTTTATGAAATATTAGCTTGGTTGAGTGAATGCCGCATGTAAAATTTCAAAACGCACGTGCCTAATTTTTTTTAATAGCGGCTTCATTATATGCATTGTTGTAATTCATTATCTTCAACATACACTGTGAACACTTGCATTGGAGTGGGGGGTAATGGTAGTCGTAATACAAAATATCGTCGATGGAACGAATAGTTTATTGATAAGAGAAACGTCAACGGAAGATATCTTAGTCTATCTGTTCTCATTATGATCACATTTGAAGATAAAAATAAATATCTTTCATCAAACATTATGTCGTTTCATCGATGATTGTGTAGATTAACCATCAATTATTCCATAATGACTCGGAGCTGAAAGCATGACTGCCTTTTACAGAACCTTCACATTAGAGCCGAATATCATTTCTTTTTTCACAGCACTGAAGTTAGACGATGAGAATGATCTTGCTCCGATCCTTAGAGCTTTAGCTGATCAGCATGCTGCAGTATCATCCAAGAAATCAGGGAAACCCGACTCTCAACCTTTCAACAAGTATATAGGCAAAGACCCTGCCCATAAACAAAAACCTCATGATAGAAAGAGAAAACATCCCCGCGGTCGCAGTTGATTCAATGTTCAGGAAGTGTAGGCATAATGACTGCTTCTACCTCATACCATTCAACATAGACTAATTGTGTTTCACTGAATGATATTAAATAATAAAGAGTAGTAAATAACATAGATTAGTTCGAAATATGTTCTTTGGTCGTGGTATGGCTTTAAATGTTGTGTTTGATATTGTTTTGTGCGACGCTGTAAGTCTACATCTGCGTTGAGGACGAATCATTTTTAAAGTTTCTGATGTAATAATGCTTGGAACTCTCATTTCCTATACCCCCTTTGAAAAACTGGTGAAGATGAATTTGATGTCATGGATACTTCATTACCTAGTTTCAATGGACTCAGTGGTCTTCATATCTTCGACTAATCAGATAAGACAAATTATATGAATCAAAAACAGTGTCGGTGAATGACCATGAACGTATTAAAAATTGACCTCCTTATAAATATTGCTCAAAGCTTCAGGCTGCTATCCATTGGCTATGAAACGTGGATGTCTGTATGGAATGCGAGAAATTAGTGTAGGCTTACAATATAGATTAAAGAAAAATATCTAAATCAATGAGTTGATGAAAACCATTAGCTCTAGGTCCTGTTCTTAAAAGCTTTTTAAGGCGGTCTCAGGGTGGGAGTGTTGCAAAGATTCTCCCTCTTATTTTTTTCATTTTATGGAAGGAATTACCCGTGAGTTATTAACAATTCTGTGATGCCTACTCAACCAGCTCCCATCACTTACTGATACTAGAAACGCCACTGTCCATAATCACAAGTTTTCTACGCAAATAAATGGCATTCACGTTGATTGGTTTTTTTTTCTTTAAGTACAAAATTTCTTACTTGGGAGCTGGTATTTGATCCAAGCAGAAAAATAGAGCAGAATTCCAAGGAATTTCCGTTGATATCAATACCATCGTTCAGCAGGCAAACATGATATTATATTTGTTGCCCATGTTCCAAATTATTTATAACTTTGATTATTCCTACAAATTCAATGGTGTGAAAATCTGGGCTATGAAAACAGTGTCGTCTGTCGAGACTGGGGACAGACTGACCTAATGGGGGACAATTGAAGCTAAGGTGAAAAATACTGCAGTTCCGAGGAGGAAATTTTGGCGCATACCGATATATTTTTAGACAAGAACGTAAACAAATTATATTTGTCAATTTGTTATAAATGGAGTAGCGGTTGAATATGGGGAACTTTTGATGAGGGACACATAACCCCCGACCCCCTGGTACCACAACTGTCTCAGCCACTCTAAGAAAAATTACTCGAAGATGTTTACCTTCTAAAACTATTCGAGCAATTGTCAGGCTTATGAACCATAATGCTACCTATCATTTTTCTTCCAGAATTAAAAACAAGTGATATTGAGGATTCCAATGAAGCAGAATCAACTCAAATTCAAGAACTAAGCAGTAACTGTGAATGTTCTAAACCTCCAGCTTTACCAACATTCCCTCCTGAAATTGCTAACTTTTTAATCAGAAACAATCGTACAACGACTTGCAAATCTATACCTTTAGTGGTTTCGAAATATTTTAACCAAAGTTTTGTTAATGAAGGTCACACGAACTCTGAACCAAATCTACCCGTGTTAAATCTTGCTGAGAACTCTGTACAACTGAGGCAGCAATCGGTATCATCTTTAAGTCCTGTGAGTCGAGACCATATTTTTACAAACAGTGTCTTTAGTTGTGTCCTTATCTTGTGGAATGGTTTTTATTGTGGATAAAATTGTTGTTATTGCAGTCTCTTGAATTTACCTCCCTTTTCTGTGAACAATCAACCAATAAAATTATTTAACATGAAGAGGAAATAAAATTTCGACACGTCTTCGCCTGATTAAATTATACTTTACAGACAATTCGCGTTTCATTTATTGACCCATAGTTGATCTGAGAGCGCCCTAATTCTCAAATTAAGATGCTCATTTTCTGAACATAATCATCACCATTTATGACAATCTAGAAAATTGCTTATCGTCAATACCACTGAATTTATTGATATTATAATCTTCAGGTAGCTTTGCGAGCGTGGATGTTGGGGTGTTACTTATATACAGACAATTTCTAATATAAGTTTAATAGGTAATGTGATATCGGGTCACCTTGTTGCACACCCTTTTCTATTGGGAAGAAATAGGTGGTTATAATTGTTGTTTATGCATATTTTATAATATAAAGTAAGTATCCATAAGAGGACTTTCACCATAAAATGATGACAAATTGATTCGAAAAGTAAGTCTGGCCACAGTATTAGGTTGTTGCTTCTTGGTCATTGGTGGTACAAGTGTATTGTTATTGGACCACTGGCAATAAAAATATGTTGTTACTGGGTCACAGGTAAGATCAAAGTATTGTAAATATAACTGAATCACATGTAGTACTAGTACCGAGCCTAGTTTACTGAGTAACTGGTAGTGCTAGGCTATCATTACTCGACCACTGATAGTACACGGCTACATATTATTTTCCATGGAATGTATTTAAATAAATGGAAGTGGAATAATGTATTTATGCTCTAATTCGACTGCAATAAAAATAACTCAAATGTTCACGCCAGATAAGTCTCGATTATTTACGTCTAGATAACATGGCCAAAACTGTAGAAAATTCTGAACAATTTTACATTTATATTGGATCATTCATAGTTTCAAAGCGCCATTTAGTGTAGAAATTGAGGTATAACAAAAGAGTAAAAGTACGATCAGTGGCAGCACCAGCCTTCCGAGACTGGGGGCATAAATAGGGCACAGACTGGCTCAATGGAGGACAACTGTTGAGGCTGAATTCAAATTTTGACTACACTGTTGTGGTGTCATAGTCGCAAGTCTCTCATAAAGTGTCTTAAAGGGGTTCTCTCAAGAAAATTTTAGAAAGATAGGATTGATTTTGAGCAAATATTTAGGAGAAAAACGGTGGACATGTAGATCTGTTGAAAATAAAGTGGGGGTACATTTTTGTTATCTTAATTATCATTTTTGTTTACTATTTTGTATTGTTGTTACTTGATTTATGATTTAACAACATGTCTGTGAAGTATGAGTGTGAAAGCGTATGATACGCGCGAAGCGTAGTAAGTATATTGTACCAGAGCATAACAAATGCTTACTACGTATTTGTGTTTTAATAACACGGCCATGGAATATAGTATAGTACGGAAGGTAAGGTTTTGTTTACAAATTTATACTGTCCACTATGTACGGACACTTACGATAACATAACATTAGGGTTCATTCTTGGGTCAAAATCTCTTAGGACTTGTGCCTTCTAGAGTGTTTATGAGATAAAAATTGAGCGCATTTCTAAGAACAAGGGCATCAACCCATATTAAATAGTTTTCGATTTTTCTGATTTCCAATACGGTTCATCCTTTGGTGATAACAAACACTCACACCAAGTTTGTCAAAATCCATAACGAAATGTGCCTTATAGAGTGTTTACGAGCAATTGTCGACAGACGGACATGGGTGACGCCAATATGCGCTGCCCGTTTCAGGTAACCGTACAAAAATCACACTTCCATCACGTCAAAACATTTTTAATGAAAATGACACACAAATTGCAAATAGGTTTATGTAATCTTTGGAAAAATAGTCAATTCGTCTGCAAATCTAATCATTTCCAAGACGTTGATGTTGGGGTCTTGTATAACTTACTACTTACAGAGAATTTATGTGAATCGGTTTAAGATAAATAGGTTAGATGAGATCGGGTTACTTTGTCGCAAACCCTTTTCTATTGAGATGTAATGTGTGGTATAGCTATAATGTAAGTCGGGTGAATACCAAAACCAAATTGCTAAATTGAATCGAATGCCTTAAAAAATTGATTACCATAAAGAGTCATCAAAAGCTTTTTGTTATACAGTCATCAACAATTCTAATATTTTCTATCATAAAATACATCAATTGAAAGGTTATATGGGTCCAATGTTATCTTTTTATTTATTTTATTGCCAACATAACGTATACATTAATTCAAAACAATTCACATAAATAAATTAATACAAAACAATTTGATATGACAATATCTAAATATAATGATATTTCTAACATAGCTTTGAATTCCAAGGTTAAAGAAAGTTTATATATAAAGATGGATATTCACGGATGGGTTGTCACTTGTTGATTAATTATTACTTTGTCTTTGTATATAAAAACATCATTCTGTTCTATTTAAATATTTGTATATCGCTTTACAATTGTATTGAGCACTATTTAAATAGTGAAAATATTTGATCATTATATTTACATAGTTGTATAGATATTTCCATTTTGAAATAAAATACAAAAAATAGCAATGCCATCGTAATACGCCCACATTTGTAATGGCAGCTAATTTGTCCGGGAGAATGACAAGAGTTATCAGTAAATGAATGTTTCTGGGAGTGAAATTTTCATATATCATGGGTTTTGTTTACAGCTTACAATTCAAGAACAAGGGCAATAAATCATAGTAAATATTAATGTGTAGGCGTATATATAAAAATGAATACATTAATTTTCATTTGGTATTTCACCTCTTAAAAATATTTTGTCATAATTAAACAGTGATTGATAACGTTAATGTCATTACTGTCTAGACTTTAACTGGTATACTATTTTTGACTATGATTGCATGTAGCTTGCTCCAGATTTATTGCGTATGTACGAATTGAATTTATACGATCTATTGTTTCAGCTATTGAATTTGAAAAGTTTAGGAGAATAATGTATTGTTCAGGGAAAAGTGGATGCCTACGATTATGATAGAGGATATTTTTGCCAAATCTTTTATTTTGCTGTTCACATCAAAAGCCTCTGAAATTAAGTGAGCAGGATATAGCTGAGCCTGATTGAGTGGCCTGAAGTTTCTGTGTCACGATCTTGTATCCTTTTTTGTATCCTCTGATTCGGTCATTTAAACTTGGGAGTAGAAATTACCTATGTCACTGAAAAAATTTCTCATTTCCGGGCGGTAATTCTGGAAATTTTCTAGGGGAGGTTTCCGGCCACCAGTTTT